CGCTGGCCGCATGGAAGTCTGTGCCGACCAATGGGAGAAGGACCGCCCATTCAAACTGGGTTTGCGCCACTGTCCTGGAACAAGCAAGGAGCGAGCGACCAATCCTAGTAGGAGCGCTCATTCATGCGGGGTTTTACGCTCTCCCATCTGATTGGGCGGCGAGGCCCTCCCGTCCCTGGGCACTGATTGGTGCCATCTGATTTCGTGCCCTATCATCTGATTAGGCGGCAAAACTCCTTCCTCCCCCTAACGCTGATTGGGGCCATTTCAGCTGATTGGTCGTTACTTGGTTTAGGTGCAAAGTTTGAATTCACCGGGCTAAAGCAAGCAACACCATGGAACTGATTCTGGGGATATACAGAGCCTTGAGCCCCAGACCTCAGACGCTGATATCTCCGGCTCTGTACATCCGATTACCTCACTTTTTGCAGGGATCCAAGATGGAACCCAGGACTATTCCCCATATAAAATGTAACCCTGTACCCCCTTTCTTCCCTGGGTTGCCAAGCCCCAAACTTCACACCCCTGTATGTGAAGTGTACTCATGCATGTCCCTGTGTCCTATTAGTATCTTCCTGAGCGGGAGATGGTTATTAGTTCCCCAGTCCCCTCCTGTATGTGTGTTTGTGTTGTGCTGGATGGAGACCCCCTGTGGGGGTCTGTGCATAAAAAACTGTGTGTACAATAAACATTGTCAAATGTTGTATCCTGGAACTGTGTCCCGTCCTTTTACTGGGGCAATGGGTCTGACCTACTCTAAGGTCCAAAGAGGATAGCCAGCCAGGTTACCCAGGTCCCACTTCAGTTAGTAAATTCAGTTCCCCATTGTTAGAGGTAAATGGAATGTACAAAGACCTATTGATAGGTCACAATATGGACCCAACAGGCGACCCATGCAATTAGGACAGCACAATGTGTATTTTTGGACATGGCCCTTTAACAGCACCACCAGCCAACTATAGCAGTGGGAGGTAGTGAGAGGTTGTCAAGTCCTCCAAGCTTCATGTAGAGAGTGTGAGAAGAAAGGATGAGGAGGCAGTTAAACAGCTCCATCAGACTCAGACAGCAGGTAAATCACTTTCCTGCACATAAAAAGTATGTTAACAGGGGGCTGGCTAAATATATAAAACATAGTACATGTATATATGTGTTTGTGTCTGTCTGTGTATCTGTGTGTCAGTGTGTGTGTATGTCAGTGTGTGTATGTTTGTGTGTCTGGGTGTATCCTTGTGTTAGTGTGTCTGTGTGTATGTGGCAGTGTGTATCTGTGTTTGTGTATGTGGCAGTGTGTATCTTGTGTGTAATTGTGTATCTCTGTATGTGTATCTGAGTGTGTGTATGTGTGTGTGTCTCAATGTGTATCTGTATCTGTTCAATGTGTATGTATGAATGGGGTAGTCTACGTGTGAGTGTGCATACATACCCATTAAGTCAAACAAAAACATTACATACAAAAACAACCCTGCAGTCAAACGCCAAAATTATATAGAAACACGCCCCTTCATTCAAACCTGTCTTATCTGCACTCATGTTGTTTTAACCCCTGTATCACAACTCAACTTTGAATTCTATGTGACTTCTTGCTCAGAGATGCTTCAGACTTGAGAAAGGAAGGTTCTGCCGAAAGCTTGTCATTAAAAAAGGTATTACAAGATACAAATTTTATGTTTTTTATATCTACATACATTACTGGACTTGTACGGCTACAATCTCAACTTGGACACTATGGAAGCTAAATAAATAAATAAATAAATAGCTGTGGCTCACCCAGTAACAATAAAACCTCCAGGAGTATAACTATTAGGGAGGTACAGTGGCACAGACAAAGCGGGCCAATCATAGGAGCTGTAACAGTGATAGACAGATCAAATAGCCAATACCAAGCAAGGTAAGGTAGCTGTATATGTAGCAATTTTTTCATCCCCAGTAATATCAGCATAGAAAATTTTCCAGTAATAGTAGTAGATAGCATAAGTTAGGGTGGCTCACCCCAAAAGCACAGAAATAATAATAAATAATTAGCTCAGCTGCAAGATATAAGAGAGAAATAATGTGGGCGCTCACCCCATCGTCCGTTCCAAGCTGATATGAGGCAGTGTAAATGAGAGGGGCTCACTCTCAAATAAGGATATCAGTATTATGTACGGTAATAAACTGTAACATAAACAAACAAACTGACAGTATGCAGTATAAATATCAATATTGTGCAAGCAGTATGAGTGCCCAGACATCCCCTTTGTGCCTCAGAGTGAAATTCCCAATTTGCGGTGTCAGGCCATGTCAGTTTTAAGACTAACGCGGCTTAAGAAACCTTACAAATGGCCTCCGGGGTTGCGCGCAAGTGCGCGGGATCCAAGATGGAAGTCAGCTACCTAAGGGAGAGATAGAGACGTTCTCTGCAGTCCTCGAGAGCAAGCCTCTCTACGTCCCGAACATGAAGAAAATCCCCAAATAAAGGCACAAAAAACAATATAATACACAAAACACTAACATACAGTTGAAATAAAGGAAAACAAATATAAATAAAAGGTAAAAGTAATATGACTAAAAGGAAAAAAAAAGTTAAACCAAATAGAAATATAATAACTAAATATAACCAAAGATATTAAAATATGCAGATAAATGACTGAAGTAAATGCAAAGTAAATACAAAAAAAAAGGCCATAGCAATCCACAATAAGCAGGAGGCAGTAGTACTCTGACCTGTGCTGGTGAGGAGCAGCAAAGAAAGAGGATGAGTCATCAGAGGGAGGGAGTCTTATTACTTTTGTTGTTTTCTGATTGTTTTCTGTTTCTTGTCAAACATGTGCTGTGATGTAATAAAATAAAATAAAATGTTTTATACTTTGCTATAAAAAAAAAATAGGCTGGTAACAGAATATTAAGTAGTAGTTTTTAACTATAAGTAAAACCATTTAGAACTTGTTACCATGTAATCATAACAAATTGTATGTGTTTATCACTAGTCATAGAACAAAAAAATTTTTTATTGCTGAATTTGTTGTTTTGGTTGGGGCTCTTTAGCTCTGAATCTCTTTTACCCCAGTCGTACATGCGAATGAGACAAAGATCTGAAAGGAGCGAATGCATAGACAAAGTACAACTTAAGATTCAGCACTGAATCTTTGGTTGTAATATGTCTATGCATTTGCTCCTTTCTGATCTTCTCTGTGGGTTATGTTACCCCAATTCCATTGTTTGGTTTATATTTGGAGTTCAGACCAAATTCCTTTTGGAACAAAATAATATATAAGTGGAAAATATAAAAGGAAAATTCCAATATGTAAACACACAGGTAATAGAAATAATAAATACAACCTTACA